GCTGCATTTTCTTACAATGGATGGAGGAAGTTAGTTAATGGAGAACTAATGGGGTAATATTAAGGCATGTAACCTCAATCTGTTGATCTCTAGAGTCTGTTATTCTAATACTTTCTGGAGACTGTTTAATCCAAGCTGCTGACATCTGCCTATATCCCTCCAGAGAAGGTTGGGAACATAATTCAACTATTTACTACATACTGGGTGACAAGAAAAAAAACAAGAGAGCACTAGGTAAATTATGTGATGCCATTCTTCCTAGATCATACACTTCACACCGCAGATAAGGATAGGAAGAGGTCACTATGCATTTTCAGCCTGGAGGAGACTCAGAGGAGATCTGTTGGCAACATACAGGTATGTGAGGGGGTGTCACATGGAAATGGGTAGAGACCTGTTCTCCCCTGCAGAGGAAGGCAGGACATGCTCCAATGGAGCAAAGCTCAGGGAACCAAGCTTCCATTTAGATGCCAGAAAGCACTTCCTGACAGGACTGTATGGAATGGGCTTCCACGGGAGGTGGCTGAGGCCCCATCGGTGAGGGTGTTCAAAGATAGGCTGGACATGCACATTGTGGGCATGTCATGAGCGGAGCCAGCTAAAGCCAGGGGTGGCCCGGGAGACTAGATGGCCCAGGAGGCCCCTTCTGACTCGCTCTGTTTCAATGTTTCTAAAAGCAGAAACAATTAGAAAACTTATTCAGTTTGAAGGTTTTTCACATTATGCTTTGCATTTATTTACACTTCTTCACATTAATATCTTTGGACTACCCAATATAATAGCTTATGTTACAGGTATACTGCAAACCTCACGCAAACAAAAAGTTAGCAGCCTAATATGCCCAACTGTGCCCCACCTAGGCCCATGCCCCATTTATCTATCTATCTGGAAATCAAGCCTGGAATAAATTCATGTTGGACAATTAGAAAGCCACCCACAGTTTTCAAATGTATCAATATATTTGTGTTTCTTCAGCCTGAAGTGTCTACTGGTAAACACCTCACTGTGACAATTCCCGGACCCAAACTGTTTAGGGCTACAAGCGCTATCAAACTAAACTGAGCTTAGAAATTATGTTAGATGCAGAAGCCCACCCAGGCCATGATCTTGATATTTAAGCAGTAGTTTGCTGCTGTCTATATAATTAATTAAAATGTAGATTAAAATATTAGTACATTAAAATGCTTAAAATGTTTAAAACACTTTTTCATTCATAATTATTCAGAAGGAACTTCTACTGTATTCCATGAAACCTACAGTCATGTAAAGGTACATGCAAGATTGCAGTCTTAGGGCTTGGGAGTTGCAGGACTTTTTCCGTCTAAACATTCTTAGGATTGTACTCCCAAGAAACTAAGCATATACTCCCAATCAACTGAGAAGGAATTTTATAATTCAAGTAAATATAAAGATTGCATATGGCAAACATCTTCTTAAAATAGATTATTTCTTCTCTGCACTGGAGGAATGGCTCTTCGATGAAGCCTGCTAAATACTTATCTGCACATTGTTCTTGCTCCAGAGCTAGTTTTATCCACATGTATGAGGGGCGTTCAATGTATTCTCAGTATCAGCATGAAGAAAAAGGAATAACTGAAATAATTTTTATTTTTCAATATAATCCCCCATAACTTCAATACACTTACTACATCTAGAAATAAACTTTTCAATTCCCTGTAAAAAATACCCTTACTCCTTACTCCTTGTCTAAAAAATGTGCGTTAATTGCAGCCTTGAGCTCTTCATCATCAGAAAATCACTTTCCACAAAGATCTTTTTTTACATTCGGGAATAGGTAGTAGTCACTGGGGGACAGGGCCAGGCTATAGGGTGGGTGGTTTATTTCTTCGAAACCACAGTCTTGCACAGCAGCCTTCGAAACACACACCGTGTGAATGGGCGTGTTGTCGTGATGAAGCAACACACCCGTGGTCAGTTTTCCCTGCCTTTTTTCTTTAATTGCTTCTCTTAAATTACACAGAGTGGTTGCGTAAGATGCTGCATTTATGGTTTCACCTTTTTTCATATACTCGATCAATAAAATTCCCTTTGAGTCCCAAAACACTGTGGCCATGATTTTTCCGGCCGACAGAGTGACTTTGAATTTCTTCGGAGGGTCAGCACCTTCCTTATGCCACTGCATGGACTCCTGCTTACTTTCAGGGTCATAGTGATGAACCCAAGTTTCATCTCTAGTAACAATCCGGTCAAAAATACTCAATGGATCTTCACCACAGAGCTCTAAAAACTCCCTATAGCACTCAACTCGCACTTGTTTCTGAGGCGCCATGAGCATTCGCGGCACCCATCTTGCACAGACCTTTGAAAGGTTAAGATGGTCATGAAAAATAGTAAATATGGTACCAATGGATAGGTTTGTCATCTCTGCTAACATTTTGATTTTTATTCGGGCATCTTCCAATACAAGTTTCTCAATTTTTTTCACATTTTCTTTCGTAGTGGCAGTAACCGGCCCGCCCGAGCGAGGGTCGTCTTCAGTGCTTTCTCTGCCCCTTTTAATTTCACTTGACCACTTTTGAACAGTAGATAATGATGGTCGTCTTACCCTCAGATAGTGTCATTAGCTAAAGAAATGATTAAATTACCCACATCAATAGCAAATCAATCCGAGAATGAGAAAAAGCCTTAACTAACGTATGATGTCCATTAAATAGGGTAAAAACAACTAGACCCTATGCAAGTTTGGACTAAAAAAGGCAGCCTACCGGCAGTAGCAGGCCTTTTTTTCTATTGAAACTTGCATAGGATTATGCTTTATCACTATTTCAATTCAATTACTGTCTAGCAGAGCTTCTCATTTTCATTTTAGGACACCCTAACAAATGTGCTTCCCATATATATCAACTCTGAAATTATACAATCCATTCAATTCCTTCACTGTGCTTCAGAGGAAGGTGCTTTATGGTCCATCTAGCCCAGAGGTCCTCAAACTTTTTCAACAGGGGGCCGGTTCAAAGATGCTGGTGCTGGGCATGGGCTGGAAAGGCAGTGCCAGTGGCGCGCACGGGCCAGCGAGGGGGTGGGGGTGCGTGGGCACAGTGAGGCAAGTGTTGGCGCACATGGCGAGGGGAGAGGAGGTGAGATGGGGGCAAGGCAGGCACGCGTGGCAAGGCAGCGACAGGCGTGTGAGGCAGCAGCTTGCTCGCTTGGAGATCTTTTTCTCCGAACAAGTCCAAAACGACCTCCACGAAAGCAAGCTGCCACCTCCCTGCACGCAGGGTGAGGCGGGCAGCAGCGGGGGGCGCAGGCATGGCAAGTCCAAAACCTCTGAGGTGGGCCGGATCCGGCCTGCGGGCCATAGTTTGAGGACCCATGATCTAGCCTGTAACATCTACTCTGACTGGCAGAAAGCCTCCAAGCTCTCGGAAGGAGTCATTTCACATTACCAACTCCCTGATCCAATCCACTAGAAATGCCAGGGATTGAACCTGACACAGTCTGCGTGAAACATGAGCTCTACCAGTTAGTTCTGGTCCATCTACTTAAACCTATTGAAGCACTAACCAAAGTTTGCAGCAGTTGGTCCAAGACATTTTGTTGCCTGAGGCAGGCCAGACAGAACTTCCTCTCTGTTCCATGCACAAAAGTCAGCTGGATTGGCTGCTGAATCTTAGTTCGATACTGCCTGTAGGGAATGGTGAACTCTATTCCACATGAGGCCTCAAACTAGTTTACAGGAGGACAATTTTAGGCCATGGAACACACCAGCTCTGTCTCCAACACCAACTAGGGGAGCAGTTGGAAAGCACTATCTGAGGCATTTTCCACTGGAGGTGATTACCTCACTCTGTCTAATAGTAGGACAGGCCTTGCTACATCAAATGTCCTGGCCTTACTACCAAGCAGTTCATTTAGAATGAAGTTAGGAGGTTTATTTGGCACCCATTTGGTAGCAGTGTTGTTCTCTAGCATTCTTTCTCTTTTTTGAGAACAGTCCAAATAGATCATATTCTGTGAAAATTAGACTTCAAGACATTTACAGGAGGATACAGTTACCAGGTGATTAGCATCTAATTGCCTTAAAACAAACCAGTCTTTCTCCTATGGCTATCCAATTTACAGCATTATTTTCTTAGAGGAAAAATGTTTTTCCTCAAGTGAAACTAATAATGTACTTTAGTATGAAAAACATGAATTCTGTTTAATTCAGGACAGACATAAAACCACAGAAACAATGGAATTGGATATACCTAGTACAATAGTCTTCAACTTTTTCTGATCTGGAAACTAGACCTTCGTTAACATAAATGTCAACCTCTTCTTTCTCCCTCTCTCTAGTTCTGCTCACTCATTCCCCATCACACAACGCCAGTCATACAAGGGAAGGAAGTGGGAACGTGTTGCAGTCATTGGACCTTCCACCTCCATCATATCTGACCACCTCTTCCTGAAGCCCTCCAAATGTTTGACTTGTATTTCTCAAACATGGGACAGGGCAGGGGAGCTGGCTGTAATTAGAAAATTGCATAAGGGTAAGAAGGCTTTCCTCTCCAGTTTAAAAATGGATGTGGTATAGCTGATGTAAACCACCTTAGGTCTAGCCAGGTATAGTCCACTTGTAAGTCATTCGTCATCAACAGTTCCTTGAAGTCCGTTGACATCTGAATTCTAGATATGGGAGATTCAGAATCCAAGGTCACTTGTTGGAAAAAGCCCTCTTTTGTTCCTGAACTTGAAACAATTACCTTCAAAAGGCCACCATAAGCATTTTTTAAAAATGGGGTCAAATTTTATGATGGAACATGGGGAGATGAAAATGGAATGGACGTAGGTCATAGGCTCTATCTATTTCTCACAAAGACTTTGTAAATATCAATGCAGGAAGAAAAAAACAGCTTCCCTCAACCTGGTGCACTCCAAATATGTTGGACTACATCTAACAATCTGGTGCTGGGAACTGTAATCCAACACCTCTGGAGAGCACCAGGCTGGAGAAGGGCGAGATAAAAAAAGGGTAAAGGAGCAGATAGAAACATTACTTGATTTTGCTGAAGACAATGTCAACATCTGTGAGGGTCACATTCTTGCTATCAATCACGTGACAGTCCTTACACAACTTCGACCAGTTTTTCCCATGCATTTCCTTTCCTGTGGCTCGTGTGTCCCCATGGATGGCAAATTTTCTAAAAGCCTCTTCAAGAGCACTTAGCTCAGGCCCACTGGCCCCCTCATGGGAGCTGTTCGACTCACAGGATAACCTTTTGGCAGCTTTTTCTTTTGAGGGATCCGCAGGAGACTTTGGAGGTGTTTTGTTCACAGGCTTGCCGGGCTTGCTTGTGTTATCAGCCATGGTGCTAGAAGGAAGAATGGAGAAGAGGTAGTTGATTCTCTGTAGGCCACAGCTTGTATTAAAAAGGGGGCGGGGGGATCAGACTGTGTTCATGAATGTCAATGCCCTTCTTCGGTCTTAAATGAACAAGCAAACAAACAGTAAAACTTTAGATTGCGAGTAACTTGGCCTGTGAGTGTTTTGCAAGATGAGCAAAACATTTTTCTAAATTTTAACTTGATAAATGAGCGATGTTTTGCAGTACGAGTATTACGCATGCTTTGCCTGCCAAGCGTCACGTCACAACTGAGCGCTGGTTCTTCTCTCTCTCGCTGCGGGTGTGATTACAGCATCGTCTCCTCCTGCCCAATTGCGCTCGTGATTGCACCCACCTCCTCCCCAAGCGCATCCGTGTTCGCGCCCATCTCCCCCCTCCCCGAGCGTGCACATTTCAAATTTTTGTGATTTAAAAAAAAAAAAAGTTACAGAATGGATTAACCTTATTTACACTGAACCTTAAGGGGAAATTCACTTTGATATACAAGTGCTTTGGATTACAAGCATGTTTCTAGAATGAATTATGCTCACAATCCAAGGTTTTACTGTACAACAGTATACTTTTACCCCCTTAATCTGTCCTTAGAACTGAAAAACATAGAAACATAGAAACAGATCGAGTCAGAAGGGGCCTCCCGGGCCATCTAGTCTGACCTCCAGCACCAGCTGGCTTTGCTCACGACATGCCCACCATGTGGACGTCCAGCCTATCCTTGAACACCCACACCAATGGGGCCTCATTCACATACAGAATTTCAATATTTTTGCTAGGTGCTTAAAAGAGTTTGGTCCAGACTCATAGGACATAAATCTGCAAATTATCTTAGAGGATATATGATATGGAAATATAAAAATAATTACTTCTTATAAAAATAATGAATTCTTCAAGTAAATCCCCCCATGCAGATCATCCCAAACCAGTGGAAGATAAGAGGGCTCCTAATCTTCATTGCCTTATATTGGCACAAATGGACAGACAGGGTATATGGAATAGATCCAGGAGCCAGAGAGGCTGGTTCCCACTGGCTCCGGCCTAGCCACACTAGTGAGTGAGGTCTAGTCTACACATGCAGCAGTAAAGGACAGTGTATCACTTCAGAATGAAGATAAATGATACCATTATGGGATTATTTTAAAAAAACTCCCTGTCAGAACAAGCCTAGCATATCAAGGAGAAAATGCTCTGGACCAGAATGCTCCATGCTGTGCTCCTGTTCTCCCAGTAATTGTTTTCCCTGTACAAAGACCGTTTTTAAAAAATTGCATTGTCCATTCCCACCCACAGAAGTGGCACAGCACACTCGGCCACCTTGCTTCTGCCTCATTCTGCTACCTCTGTAAGCCTCAGCTGCCATGATCGCCTGCCACACAGCTAGAAAAACATTCACAGCACTTTGAATGCAATGCTTGTCAACAGAGGGGCCAGCTCACACCATCAGCTACATGCCACAGCATGGCAAGTAATCATGCAACAAGAGATCAGACATTTAAGTGAGAATCTGATATAATACTGCTGAATATTCATTTTGAATTTCAATCAGGTAGTAGTTTAGAAAAATTGATAATTTAAAAAAATGAATTATAGAACAGCTATCCTCTTCCTGTGGAAGACAAGCATGCTTAAGTTGGTGCCTGAACCAGGCATGGCAGTATAAGCAGCAGCATATGGAAAAGAGCAGGAGAAATACCCATGCATAGCCAGCTGAAGCAGGTACAATGAGTGAAAGGGTCTGATCTGTCTCCCTGTAGGTCCATAGCTGCTGATCACAATGTGCCCTTACCCAGACACATGCATCACTCCAAGTGCAAGAGTCATGGCTGTGCAGCAGCCTCACACACAACAGCAGGGAACATCAGCCACACCACTGCTGTCTCCCATGTGTGGGGTGTACCACCCCTGCAGCTCACAGTAGCACTGCCTGGCTCTGCGGAGGTGCCCACGGCAGCCATCCAAAACCACAAAATCTGTTGACAAGCTCTAAACAAAATAAAACATCTTTATTAAATTATTCCTGCAAGTATCTCAGCAATGCTAAGATTACCATCGGTGAGGTACTATAATTTCTTTTTAAAACTGCCTGGCAAATAAATCCAGAAACACTACTAGCCTAATAGAATGCCTTCTAGTCAGGCCACCAATGCATCCTTCCATTCCTTTTAGGCTAAAACTATTAAGACAGTCAATACTAGATTCTATAAAGCTGCCATGTCTGGGTGGCAATAGGAAGTCTCACCTGCCAAAGGCCACCAGGCAAGCGGCATTTATGCAACATCTCTGATAATCAGGGAGCACACGGCTATACCAAATAGATATGAATGTTTACAGCAAATTTCACATTCACGTGTTAGGAATTCACACAGTCATTTAGACAGTGGCAGGCAGTTTTTTTTAAAAAACCAAGAATCAGACCAGTGGTAGATCTCTAGTGACTGGCAATAACTCTGTGGGACCTCTGGCAGAAATATTTCCCAAGCTTGGCACCTTGAGATTTTTAATTGGCAGTAGTCAGGCATTGAAACTGGAATTTTTCACTTGCAAAGCAGTTCAACCTGGTGCCTATTCAGGTTTGATATTCCTTCAAAGATTCTAGACAAGATAGAGGCTCTGCTGTGGAGAACTCATGCAGCAGTTGGTGATGAATGTGACAGAGTGATTTCCCCATTCAGACAAGTTCAGAGCTTTGGGTTGCTTCTTGATCCAGCCTCTCTCCTGGACAGGCAGGCAGCAGTGATAGCAGCACCACCTGCAGTCATCTGCATTGGTTTTGTGAGCACTGTTCCTGCTTGGCACAGTCCCTCCTGCTTAGATCTCTCAATTCTTAGGGTAAGAAGTAGGGTGCCTTTCATAACAAGAGATACTGGCTATGTGGCCAGAACAACCATGCTATCCAGTTCCCAAAATGTTTAATATGTGCCCTACAACACATGAGCTATATTCATCATTTCTGGCACAAAGTGGGTCACCTGTTCACTGATATTCTACAACAAGGGTTCTTTAATGGCAAAGCAAGTACCCCTTCCCTCACGGTTATAAGACTCATGTGGCATGAAGCTCCAAGAAAAGAAAAGATTGCAGCAAACAGATCCACTTTCTTCCTAGCAACAGAGATTTTGGGATGCTGATCCACCTGATCTTCTGAATGACTCTTCACTTACCATAAACCACCACATACTTACAAGCTACTTACAAGCCTGGCTCCACTGCTCAGGTGCAAGACAGACAGACTAATGCATTTAACTGATGGCACAAGCAGAAAAGTGAGATTGCAGCTAACATCCTACAATACTTCTTAAAGAACAAGCACTATTAAACAACAGAACTTACTTAGAAGTAAGTAAAGATACTTAGAGTTGCTCTGTGAATACTCTGAAACCCTTCCCCTGGCTCTAAGAATATGCCAGCAGAACTGGAGAACAACTATACAGAAACATGTTTGGCAGTTGTGCTAAGCAGGAATCAGCTTTACAAAGATGAGCAATGAAACAGTAACGTTTAAGGATTTCAGGTACTTTTTAAAGAATCTGTTGGGAATGTTTCGCTGCTATATCTAGCAGCTTCATCACTTTTTTTTAATTTTCAATCCCAGGTTTCAACTCTGGCTTGTCAGGAGAAAGACAAGCCAGAGATCCAAAGCTGACAGCAGTGGAAATGATCAAGCCATGGTGATTAGCATGCTGGTTGATTCATAGTAACCCCAACACTGGGAAAAAACCCTGGGTAATAATTGCCAATGATGTGGTCTATTGTAGATGCATCAAGGCAATGAGAGTTGTGTGCTAAGCACATCAAATACCAGATAAATGCATGCCACCTATAAATATAATAAATACTTAATTTTTAAAAAGCTCTCCCTCTACATATGCTCAAAATGTCTTTTCTTTATTCTTACTTAGCATATTTGCTATGCACTCAGGTTCACCAATTCTACTGCAAAGCATGGTTTCAACAGCAGAAGTCTAAAACAAACAACAAACCCCACAGGCCCAGAAGTCACCCTCATGTGCAAAGGGATGAGTCTTCTATTGTCCCCTCTCACCAAAAACACCTTCCAAGGCATTCTGTCCAAGTATCAGATGAGGCATCACAGGTGAAATGGCTCCATGTTCAAGCATCCACAGGGCAGTCAGGATTACAACAGAAGTCTTGTTTTCAGCACAAACTGGCTCTGAGGACAACTGCTCTATCAATAGCTCAAGTGCAGAGATCACGCAGGGACAGATAAGTGTGGAAGTGAGTAAAGCGGGGAGGGGAGGGGAAGAGGTACAACCTACTTATTCTATTAGCTGTACAACTGATGCTTGTTACAGCCAGAGTTCATCAAGCACAATGTAACAGGCTAAGAGTGTACTAATTTACTGTCAAACTATTTTCTTCCCTCTATTCACCAACTAACAAAGCACCACTTTTAATTTTTCTTTTCTATCAATCAAGGCCCACAAGAGCCTGGCAGCATTACATAAGGAGAAATACAGTAAAATAACAATGTTAACCATTGAAGCAGCACAAAACAATAAGAAAAATGTACAATGTAAAGTAACTACAATAAAACCAATTTGCATGGAAACAGAATTGGGTTTTGCAAAGGCATGAATGGTATAATGAAATATGGAACATGGTAATTAATGATAAATTGATCACAGAAATAAAAATTAAAAGAGGGTTAATGAAAGCAAATAAATATAACGCAATTTGGGAAGATTTTGTAAAAGCAGTACTGATAGAAAGCAAAGGCTGTAAACCCAGTCAAGATTATATGAACTTCTGGAGGGGATATGGAAATAATTGAAGTATATTATATATTATTAATTGTTATGGTATGTGAATGGTGGTATCATTGGTCTCCGGGATGGTGGGGGTACTTTATTATTTAATTTTTTATTATTGTGTTTTTGTTATGTTATATTATTATTGTTGTGATGTATTGTAATTATTTTTGTCAAAAAAATAAAAATGGGGAAAAATAAAAATAAACCCAATATGCAATATGCAAGCAGGAGGCAAGGTCTTGCATCCTAAAAGTGGGCTCAGTCAAATATGGATTATTAAGACAAAACGGCACCATCTGCACACACGAGGGAGGTATCAGAAGGCTCAGAGGAGGAACCAAATAACCCAGTAAGCAATAAGAATGCTCAGTGTTGGGAAGGGGAGGAAAAGACTTAAAAAGGAGGTGGGAGACACTACACTACAAAATTTGTTTAAAACTGCCAGATCTTAGAAGCTTAACTTCAATGCAACAGCAGCGGGTTGGATCCAATGGCCTTCTTGGCCGCTTCCAGCAATACCATTCTGTGGTTCTATGATTCTAATGCCCTTCTAAAAGAGCTTCAGTGGAGTAGATCTAGAAAAATCTTGCTTTGTTGGGAGGGGAATTTCGCAGAAAGGGAACCACCTCAATAATAAAGGCAGATGCCCTGCTCTGGGAACCCTCCTTGAAGGAAGTTAGGAGATAATATACTCAGAAAAGGGCCTTCTCTGCGGTGGCGCCCCAGCTATGGAATGTGCTCTCCAGAGAGGTCTGCCCGGCACCAATGTCATATGCTTTTTGGTGCCAGGTCAAGACCTTTTTAGTTTCCCATAATTTCTATGTTTAAATATTTTAACTGTTTATGCTCAGTCATGAATTATTATGAGTTTATATGTATTTATTGTTTGATCTGTAAGCCATCCAGAGACGTGCAACATAATTGGACAGAATAAAAATACCCAAATAAATTAAAATAAATAAATAAATGTGATTTGTGGAACACCCCCAGTTAAGCCTGAGATGCTGGCACTAAAGCTATGGTCTCATTCCCTCTCGATGGTCTCAATAGGTATTTAGAGCTTAAGAGAATTAAAAAAACAGTACCTTGAGTTTGGCCCTTCAGAGAACTGGCAGCCTGTGGCAAATGTGCTCCATCAGCTAGTTCCACACAAAAATGGTTCTCTTACACTGTGGGTCAGCTGAAGTTTTCAAACTTTCTTCAATGTTAGCCCCACATAAGACTTGCTACAATAGTTACCATCAAATACAGTATAACAAAAAGTACTTTAACAAGTATCTGCTTTGAGTCACTCTGGAAATATCAACAGAGGCAAAAGAGCTGGTGAATTCCATCAAATGTAGAAAATATTTGCTCACATTTGGTCATTCTTGCTTCAAAATTGTGGCAGAACATTTGTAAAATGCATTCTAGTGAAGGATCCTGAATGGTCAATGTCATTAAATGCTCAGGAACTGCAGAATAATGTGCCTGTGTGTCTGACCACTGGGAATACACAATGGGAATACACTCACATCCACATCACTTGACCTGGATCCACCTGGGTTAGGTCCATGAGCTGATACACTATGCATAAGCTTGAACAGAGGTTTTATAGCTGAGTGCACCAGCTCTTTCCAGATTTTCTCATGCCTACTAGCACTTTGGACAGGGTTTTGAACTGCACTAAGCTCATGGTTAGTGTTTTTCCTGCAAGTCATTAACAGCCAATAATCAAATGCAGAAAACACTAAATGACACACTTTTGCCTACATTGCAAAAGAAACATGAAAAAATGATGAAGCTGCAAATATCATATGAGAGATTGCGCTTTCCCACTGCTCCATCTGGGTGAACAACTGATCCAAAAGCACCCTAAAAGCTAAGTGGGGAAGATCACAGGGGTGCCTCCTGCTAGGGTCTTTGTCAATTGCCCAGAGAATGAGATATTACAAGGAGGCATTCAACTGTCACAAAATAAACACACACACACACATAAACTCCCCAATCTGTGCAAAGCAAGTAAACCTTTTGAGGGAATTGGGCACTTTTCAAATTTAGAAAAAGCATTGTAGCTACCCCCACAATATGCTTGCATGGGAGTGGGCAGGCATTGCTCATTTACAAAATTGCTGCCATGGCGGGAATGGCCAATTACACCCCCGCCCCCTGCCCCTGATTTCTCAGAAGTCAAACTGATGATGATAAAGGAAATGTTACTTGCCCGAGAACAAATTCAAGGTGGGAGCTGTGCCCTTTTGGACTCAGTTTTCTGCTCCAATTTCCATTTCATAGAGGGCAAACTGATGAGATTCACATACAAATAACTTGGACAAGAAACTTTAGCAGAAATTGTGTGTGGCGGGGTTCCGAGCGCTGACTGTTGATTTAGTTTTGTTGCATCCCAGTAAGTACAACATGATACCCATTTCACAGAAGTCAGGCTAGCCACATCGAGAGTAATGTGCATACACCAGAGAAGGCAGGAAGGCAGGCAGGCAGGCAGGCAGGCACAGACATACACACCTTAGAAAAAAAAAATGCACACCTTGCCAAAAGAAACAAAAAAATAGCACACACACATTAAAACAGCAGGCAAAACCTCCCCAGTCCAAGCAAAACACTTCCTTCTAGCCCCTCAGGATGTTTCTAACTACAGTCAACTTACAGTTTTTATTCCCATTCTGGGAAGCTAGGCATGTTTCACAGTAAAGCACAGTGTTTCAGTCACTTCACATTTTTCTTTTCCAAAAATGCCACTGAAATAAAGATGGCACTGGAGGGTTAATGTGCCACTTTGCAGCATGCCAGGCCTAGACACATACATGTAACAATCTGGAGGGCAGGGAGTCTGAGAGGAGCCAAGAGAAGGATCTGGAGGCACAGAGGTGCTCTGTGTCACCAAGTTGGAGACCCGAGGTATCTGGAAAGTTGTTGCCCTTCTTAGCAGATTCTTCACATTCCTTAATAAAATGCATTGATGGCCCAGAGCTTCCAGCAAAGTGTCCATAAGGCAAACAACCAGAGACTTGGATTTGCTAATGGAAGTCTACAGGAAACAACCTGGCTGAGAGTGAGAGGCGTACGTGAGAGTACCTGAAAGGTAAAAGTCAGTATGGTAGATTCCAATCCCTGCTTACCCCTGCTGCTTGCCAGCAGCCTTGGATTATTTACCATCTCTCAACCTCACCTACTTCACATTGATTACTCTTGTGAGAATCAAATGGGAAAACCCTGTGCATGCTCCTTGGATGAAGGGAATAAATGGAATAAATAATAAACCCTGTGCAATTCAAAGAGAGAACACTGAGTAAGCACTGAGTACAATTAGTGCTGTGTGGGTACAGGTCCCAGACGACCTTCTAGATCAAGACATTCCCCACTGGGGAGGATTGGATATCATCAGGTTTTATTTTTGTTAGATTAGATGACAAAGTGGTCCATTTATTAGAAAGGCAGCACTACAGGCAAGCATAATGAAAAAAAGGAGCAGGATCCATTTCGATTTCAGCATGAAAAGCTAAAGGCTGCAAGTCAATTGTGGTATGTGCACCATGCTACTTTATAGCAGCCATTCCATCCACTGTTGCAGCAAAATGCTGTCAGAAAGAATCAGCGTTTTCCTGGATAACCTAAAAGGCATCCTTGGGTCTTGCGGGAAACATTACAACTGATCAAAACAAAGATCACTGTTCCCTTTAGTGAGCTCCGAACAGCTGCCCAGTATGACTCTGGGTTGTGCCACAGCTGCTGCTTTCTCACTTGGGGGGTCAGAGGCAAGTTGTGAATGCTTAAAAAGATCAGCGAAATATCTCAAAGTATCAATTTCATTTTCCAGGCTCTATTAAATTTCTGCTAAAGGCAACCTGGAGTTTTAATCCCCTCCTTGTTAAATTCATTTGTGGGAATATTGTTGCACATTAATTGTGCTCACTCCCAGAGTGGCACTTAGGTAGAAACAAGGACAAGGATGAACTGGGTCCATTTTACTATATTTCCTTCACCAACACAAAGGAAAGTTGAGGCAAAAGTATAATGCACTCTAATGCAGTCTTGCAAGAAAAATCTATAAGCATAACAGGAACACAAAAACTTTTATTAGATATTTATTTCTGGCTACCCACATGCATTAGAGCCAAAATGGGAACCATATCTTGCAGGTATGTCTTTTCTTCATATTTACTCTAGCGCAGTTGCAGGGAGCCAAAGCCCAATCTTAAAAGTCTCGTGACCCTGCCCCCCTGCCACGCAAGGATCCCAAGCTGGATCAGGGGTTCTGCAGTTGCACTAGAGTAAAGATATGATAGCTGCTAGACATGGATTTAAGCAATCTATTATCATTCTAGAAGGAAAAAAAGAAAAAAGCCTAGCAGAGCTTCCCAGCTTGGTCACTTAAAGGAGAT